GTCCGTCTGAAAGGCCAGGTATACAAGGCCACAGTGAGGGCCGTTCTGCTATATGGTAGTGAGACTTGGCCCCTTTGGTCTGAAGATCTGAGGCGCCTTCAAGTCATTGATCATCGTTGTCTGCGAAGTGTTGCTGGTGTCGGATGGCACCAGCGTGTCCGCAATGATGATGAGCGCAGGCGAGTACTAGGTAGCTCCCTAGAACAACAGATAGCACTGAATAAGTTGCGTTGGTTTGGGCACGTGCTACATATGTGTGGTCAGCGCTTACCTAAGAAGGCCATGTTTAGTCTGCCAGGTATAGGGTGGCGCAAGGCTCGAGGTGGACAAAAGTTGACTTGGCAGCGGGAAATGAAGTCACTGACAACCAAACTAGGTGCCGTTGGTCCGTCTCGCCTTCCGAGATGGAGTCCACGTGACTAGCCTTGTGCTTGGCTCGAGACTTTACAGGACATGGCTCGCAACCGACACCAGTTGCGCGTCTGCTGACGTCTCCTAGTCGGATTGCCTGTTTAAAGTGTGTTTGGTGCTGAGTTATCTGCTAGGTAATGGCTGATTATGACGCGTGGCAGTGAAAGCCGCAAGGAAGCTGTCTCGCCGATGCCGCCTTATCTTTGTACGACGGCCAGCTGTTTGTGACGGTATGTTGTCTACACAAGGTGTAGGCGCCTTGACCCTGAGTGTTCGCTTAGGGCATTAAGGTTTTCAGGTAATTCCTCCTTCTCTCCCTCTTCTTATTCGTTATTTCATAGGTTCTCAAGGTTGTATGGCAGCGAAGCATCAGTTCAAATGGCTGATGTACTGCTGTTTATGAGGATAATGATGTCTGCAGGCTACTGCAGGGCGGTTCTGATACACTTCATACGAAACTGCCGCATGAATTGGCCGCTGTACTAAGTGGCCCTCACGTGCGTTTTCAAAATCACTTGATAGTATGGAGGCCACCATCTGTACGATTTTCAGGGGCAATGACAGCGATCTGCACACAGACAACCGGTCTGTCAGCTTGACCGGCATGGTAGACAAGGTTTAGAAATTGGTGTGGGATTCGGTAGAGTTCCACATGTAAAAGTATAGACTTCTCAGTGCTGTACAACATGGGTTTTATAATGGGTTTACATGTCTAATTTATTGGTAGCTCATGAAAGTCAGGCTGATGCGACAGACACAGGCTAGGCTATTTAAGGCAATTCGTTAACTTTTCGAAAGTATCTATCAGTGTCTTGTAGCTGAGATTCGCATTCAAGTTGAGGTCTTAATGGATATATTACCGCGCCCCTAAATAGGTGTCTACTATTCTGGAGGAGAGAACAGTATAAACGTGTAGAGCATTGATTCTTAGACAAGCAGTCTATAGTAGCCTTCCACAGGGCACGGTATTAGGTCCATTACTATTCGCAAAATACGTAAGTCGTTTGCCTAGGGAATTTTGGGTACCGTTGCTTGTGCTTGCCGACGAGCTTAAGATATGAAACACTGTGGACATTCCTGGGTATTCGAAGGCGACTCAGTGTCTTGGATATGCTCTGGGAATAGTCTGTCTTTGATGCCCATTAATCGGACAGTACTTTGTTCTCCGAATTGGAACTGCTAATTCTCCCACAAGATAAACTGTTGGTAAAATTGAAATCTCCATTGCCACTCAGCGGGCCGGTTTAGGTATCGTCCAACTAATCAGCTTTTCACTCTGGCGATAGTTGGAGAAAGACTGCTTGTAGGTGAGTATGGAATGATGTGGTCTATTTGCCGGTCCTTAGGAGTCTCAACGGCCGATGTTTGTGAAGGTATTCTTGGGTTTGGTGTGACGCCGCTTGGAATACGGCGTTCAGGCTTATTCATCATGTCTTGTAAGGAACAAAATGGAACTGGAGTGGGTACTACAAGTGAGCACTATGTCAGTGAACGGTTCAAGGGGACAAGTACCCCAAACGTGTGCGTAGTTTGGCTATGTACTCAATGCGCTACTGGAGAGTTAGAGAGTAGTCGATCCTCACTTACCGTGTTTTAACGGGAAAAATGGGGCCCGAACTGGTCTTGGCAATTTATTCCCACCTGACAAATGTTAGTCTAAAGCTGTGGCTGGAAGTGCCTAAACTTGAAAACGCTGACCGGCTGTACGGCCTGTGGCAAAAGCGCAAGGATACTGCCCTGCAACCAGGCGACGCATGTAGTATCCTTAGCCCACGCACGACTGGTGGTGGTTGCGTGACAGTGAAGCATGGCTATGACGTACCGGCGCATTGCTGATGCTTTGCCTGTAGGCCAATAGAGTGGCGGTCCCCTGTTGGTGCTTATCACATGGGGGACTTCCTGCTCAGGAACGCAACCTTCGAGAAAGACCTAGAAGCGTTGTTAAGCCAAACCTACATACAACCCAGGAAACCTTAAATAAAATTGCCGTTGTCATTAGGATGTTATTTACTATAAAATCTTCCTCCCAAGTGGGTCTGGCGGTCTTCAGATTAATCTTCAGTTCCCATGTGCATGTGATTCTTGAGTACGGATTGTTAGCGTTCTATCTTCTCACAAAGGCCGAATGCATTCTGATAGAGAAAGTTCAGCAGCAAGTAATAAAACCTGTTTCGACACTCCGGGACCTGCCTTACACTCATCGATTTTGAAAGGTGAACTTGTTCGCATTAGAGTATCGTCGCCGTTGCGGTGAGTTGGTTTACACCCGACAGTCTACGAGATGAGGAGTTGCAGTTTTTTCATCTTCGTGTGGATAGTTCAACACGGGGTCACCGCTGGAAGCTTCTTAAATGGAGGATGCTTTGAGTTCGCTTTGATGCTACGTTGTCAGCTAGTGTGGTGAATGACTAGAACAATCGACCCGAGTTAATCGTCAATGCACAAACAGGAATCAATTGTTAGACAGTACAGATTGTGCTGTTTTCACTGATTGTAGTGGTCCCTTGTGGAACACCGCCGCAATGACTCACATTGTCCCTGCAAGTAGAAATATAAATTTGTACAACTCTATTGCAATACAGCCAAAACTTTTGGGGGAATACGAAGGCAGACAGTAGCATTCCTGCCCTAGAATATCATGACGTCGACGCTGTTCTCTATGGTGATGACTAAACAGCTTACTTACTAGCCACCCAATAGTCATTGGTCTAATCAGTAGGGTCCTGGCTACCCAGTGATGATCTGACACCGCACTGTCGGCTGCTGGAGCATGTCGAAATCACTCCTGAGATAGTATTGAAACTTCTACTTCAATTGAACCCGAATTCCGCTTCAGGTCCCGACGAACTTCACCCGCTATTTCTCAAGATGGGAGCTGAATACATTGCTGAGCCAATGTGCCAAGTGTTCCGCCGTTCGCTTGTGGATGGCCGCTTACTATCTGATTGAAAAGCAGGGATAGTGATGCCGAAACATCAAGAAGACAACCAGCACGATCCCATGAATTATCCGCCGATATGCCTGATGACTTTCGTTTGCAAGATCATGGAAGAAAAAGTTCGGATGCGTGGCTCGAAATCCGTCTCGGAGCTTCACGACCTCAGCTGCCCTCTTCGACTTCAGAAGCTTGACTTGGTCCCCAGGAGTGTCGTCGTCGTCGAGACGACCTCATTTACACCAGACGGATACTAACAGAACTTGAGACGGACCTACAAAGATTTTTCGACTCAGTGGATACCTAGACACGGGGTCACAAGTGGAAGCTTTACAAACGAAGAATATTTTTCGTCCGGTCTGATGCTGTCTTAGCTACCCGGGTGGTGAGCGGCAGAAACCAGAGAACGTAGTTGATGCACACAGGAAAGTTTTAAGCGTCTGCTAGATTGCCACCTGATGAATTCCGTTGGTTCCTGCAGCTGTTTTTACAAAGGCAAAGATCCCCAGAGTCGCGTCGACTCACAAACACAAACATCGACCTCACAATGAATGGGAAGTGACGGAGCTGACAAGAATCTTCCCTCTTGCTCTCTATATACCAATGAAACGGTGGAGCTGACAAAGGATATTTTTTCTACTCTGCATCCCAACGGACCAGTAAGTTACCTAGTAGCTGAAGCGGTGTAAACCGCATTGAGTAATCGAGTGCTGCAACTCGCTTCCCTAATTATGTGGTTAAGGTACCTACGATTAAAGGTTATGAGCGTCAGCTCGATGATCTTGGGTGGTAACTCAAAATTCTTCCTCCGAATTAAGTTATTTCGGCTACAGGAGTTATTTTTAGCTCATCAAATACCTTAGTAGCATAATCAATTAACTAGGTTCCCCTTTTGCTTTCTGGTTTCACTATTCGCACTATCTTACTTCGCGTAACTGCAGTTGCGCGGGCCCGGAAAGGAACTACAGCATTTTCCGCCTCAACACGAGGTTACAACCGGAAGTTGTATAAGCCGAGGAGACTCAAAGTTCGTCCCGCCGCCGCTTTGTCCACTCGGGTAGTGTACGACTGAAACTGTCTACCAGCGAATGCTGTCGATAAGCCGACCGAAACGGATGTTGGACACCCACCTATGTAAGACACCAGGACGGTATTGGATTACTGCAAATGCTTCGGCTCCCTGTAGAATAACAGATCGCAACAACATACACGCTCTTAGTGCCGAAATGGAAGTGACGGGGCTAACATAAGACCTTTTTTTTGCTCTTTATGAGTCAATGAAATCAATGTACCCGGCACAATGAGGTCGGCCAATGCAAGATACGTGTGCGATAATTGGTTGGTCATGGTGATGGGGTTTTGGTCAGTTACATAAATTTGTCAAAGCATCACTTTCACTGTTAATGTAAAGACTACTGGAGGAAAGAACATTCTCAAGATTACGCAATCGTTCCAGTTCTACTTGAACATGAGCCCGACAATACTAGACCAGAATAATGATGCAAATGGGATTCGTTAAACAGTGAAAAATACTAAGTGTACTAAGATGCAGGTCTAATAGTACTTGACAAAAAAAGGAAATATCCAAGAACAAGCGACAAGTTGCAAGAAAGTGTGCTTCGAAGTAACCGAACAGAGCAGAGAATGGACTCACAGGTACAGAAACTTCCTCGGATGTTTCATCCTCCAGTAATCTCACAATCACGCTGAACACATTTTCTGTTCCACCAATTCTCCTACCTCCGCCTTTAGAATGCATATCCAAGTTTCATAATGCCATGAAGGTACAGAGGGAACATCGCAATAACAGAGGGACTAAAAGCAGTGTGTGATATTCTAAAGTACAAGTTGCGGCAAACCGTTTAATGAAATGTTCAATTTACCCAGGACCATCAAGGTAGTGGCTTCGGCGTATATACCTACGGTTGATTCCTGTTGATCTAGGGTATTTCGTAGCCGCACTATCAGCAATCTAAGAGAACCGAAGTAACACGGCCATTGGAGGTTGATGCGGTAACTCGATTTTTGCAGTGCCATACTAACCAAGATTTTAGCTGCTCTTGTGAAAATACAGTGTTTTCATAAACGGCACGAAGTTTGATGTGTCAAATGGTCTCTGCTCCAAGCTATCTTGGATCGATTAATGTAGCAATGGACTAGGCGCCTTTTTGGAACTAACTGATAACTTTTCTGGTTGTTGCAGTTTTAATCCAGTTTTACAACCAGTTTATAGCCTTTTAATCCTGTCCTCTTACCGTTATATCCATGGTTCAAGTCGGCTCCCTGTTTCATTATAACATGGCTGTCTCGCCAAACACGGAGGCGGCTGTATCCCTGGGTACTCATTCGATGCGTCTACCAGTACAATACCATTCATGGATTCAGCTAGTTGTATGCAATGTCGATTTTGCTGCCGCTGTTAGCACCAACGTTGTACCTGCCTCCAAGCAGACTAATACAAGTTGTTACCATCCAGTGAGAGCTTGCTTTTCGGATGTGATGAAGGCGCGCATAGGTACCGCACAGCCCTGCTTTCAATGGTGATAAACTTACGGTAATGGCCTCAAGGTTAACAAAGGTTGAGAAGCTGCCACCCGAAGTAGTCTCTTACATCACGCAACATCAACTTGTTTTTAAGTATGAACTCGCTGACCGTTGCCTTTGGCGACGCCGCTGCCGTCTGCACAACAGATGACAGCTAAACGGTTGGTGTCTGTCTCTCGGACGAGAAGTCGCCCATTCTACCGAACGCTCGCGTTTACAGGGTAACGGACGCGAGGCTATTGACTGCATCGGTGGAACCGTCCATAAGTTCATTGGAGTAAAACAAAAGCATCATCATCATCCTCATTATACATGTCAGTTAGAGATGGTAAAACACCTCCGCTATTGTACGGCAATACATAAAGGAAATACATACATACATACAATACATAAAGGAAAAATAAATAAGACAGTTGAATGCCAGCTGAGCTACCAGCAACGGATACACATCGTTCCGGTAAGCTACTAGCCGGCTACTAGGCAAAACAAAAATTTAATTACGTTTTACCCTACGAAATAGGATCGTAGATGGAGGGGAGGCTAAAGGGATGGGGAGGGAAAAAGAAACTCACAGCAGGAGCGCCACCGTGGTCGGCTCCTTGCCATATCAGCACGTGTATCCAGCCAAACGTGTTCACCGTCTTTTAGACCCCAACCAGGGAGCCGTGAAGCTCCAACTGAGGCCAGCTCTGAAGTGAGGGCCTTCAATCCTCTGGACCAAGTCATCGCTTGACCACCTCTCCTTTTCTTCCACCCACATCCACGGTGTGCAAACAACGCACGTCGCGGGAGTCGTGGGCTGGCATGCGCAACACGTGGCCCAGCCATCGGAGCCTGGTGAGTGAAATGACGGTGCTCAGCGGTTCATTCCCTTTTCCTAGGCCGTAAACAAGGTGTCGAACAAGCTCGTTACTCACGCGGTGTTCCCACCAGATGTGAGCCAAACTGCGAAGGCACCGATGGTCGAACGTAAGTAGCCTCTTCATGTCCACCGATCTTAGGGGCCAAGTTTCGCAACCGTACAGTAAGGTCGAACGTACGGCTGCATTGCACACTCTACCCTTCAGGGCGAGAGTAAAGTCGCGCCGTCGCCATAGGTGGCGAAGGTTAGCAAAAGCACTTCGAGCTTTCGCTATGCGGTTCGTGATCTCGTCTTCGATCCCACTGGCGCTGATACAACTTCCCAGGTAATTGAATTTCTGAACGACTTCTAGCTGATCCCCACTAAGGGTCAGCACAGGGGGCGAACCCTGCCAATCCTGGAGGAACGCTTTGTACTTCGGTGGTGCAAAGCAAAGCCCGAAGCGACTGACAGCCAGTGCTAATCTGTCCAGCGCGGCTTGACACGTCTGGGAGCTGTCACAGATTAGGGCAATGTCGTCTGCATACTCCAAGTCAAGAAGTCGTTCTCCTGGGAGTAGCTCCACACCTTCCAAGTCATGTCCTGTAAATGCAATCTCCATGACTTCGTCAATAGAGAAGTTGAAGAGGAAAGGTGACAGCGGACATCCTTGTCTCACACCGCTGGAGATATTGAAGGGTGGCGACAGCCTGCAGTAAGCCCTTACTCTGCCCGTGCTACGCGCATATAATGCTTGGATAATATTTACATATTTCTCGGGCACACCTTTCCTGAGTAGACAATTCCAAAGGGCACATCGGTCAACCGAATCGAAGGCACCTTTGATGTCGAGGAACACGACTACAGCGGACCGCCAATATGTGTGACGGTGTTCCAACAACTGACGCAAGGTGAAGATGTGGTCGATGCAGCCACGACCCCGGCGAAACCCGGCTTGCTCCTCACGAATCTGGCTTTCACGAGCGCCAGTCAGTCTGTGGAGAATTATGGACGCGAGTAATTTGGAGGCGATGGAGATCAGACTGTTTCCTCTAAGCTTGCCGCATTCCGAGCGCGAGCCTCCTATGAAGATGGGAACAATAACGGAGCGACTCCAGTCGGTTGTTCCAGTTTCCTGCTCCCAGTTTCACTAGTAATTCATGCAAAGCATCAACACGAGCAGAGCCTCCAAATTTGAAGAGGGCTGGAGGAAGATCATCTGGTCCCGCGGCTTTGTTCAACTTCAACAGTCCGATCTCTCTTTCGACTTCTGAGCGAGAGGGTGGATCCAAAGGTACAGCCCACGGAGCGGGGCGATCAGTGACCGGCGAATCGAACAATTCTAACCGATTAAATTGCTTTTCAAAATGCTTAGCCCAACGCTCCAGACGTTTTGACAAATTGTGGATAGGCTGTCCACTCTCGTCACGTATAGTTTCACTAACACCAGGTCTCCTGCTGCCCGTTTCCCGTATAAGACGGGATAACTTACGATGGTTGCCAAGGGCAGCGGCCACTTCCATCTCTGACGCACGATGAGACCACCAAGATTAGTGGTCTCTCTTCAGGCTAGCACGGAGTTTTGCCCGGAGCTCTTTGCGAGTTTCATTGTGCTCGCTTCCAGCCGGGATTTGCCGGCGAGCATCTATAAGTTCCAGAGACTGCGAAGAGACCCAATGTCCATGTTGTCTATTGGACATACCACATGAGGATTTGCCTACTGCTAGTAAGGTCTGGCGAACATGTGACCAGTGACCATCAATTGTCTCCAGTGATCGCTCGCTCAACTCGCATGTTAGCGTACTTCGATCCGCATTCAGAACAGCTGGTTTTGTCAGTTGGCTGGTGTCAATAGGCTCACAGCGTCGTCGTGGGCGTCCGCCAAAACGCATCCGCAGGTCAGCACATACAAGTGCATGATCGGTGTCCACACATGTGCTCTAAATCGAGCGACAATTCTGGATGCAGCCTCTCCAGCGGTAACTTATCGCAATGTGATCGATCTGCGTGCAAGGCTGCTTCGAGGTTGGTGGGCGCCAAATCACCCTTCGGCGGGTGCTGTGTCGGAAATTTGTGCTCGCAAGAAATAAGCGAGCATCTTCACACAAATGAAGTAACCGCTCACCGTTATCATTACGGGAGCCTACACCGTGTTGACCGCACAGAGGCATTTCATCAGTGGACAACTTTCCAACTTGTGCGTTCATATCCCCCGCCAGCACAACAGTGTCCGTGCATCTTCTGTGGCAAAGGAGCTGGGTCAGTTGGCGGTAGAAGTCGTTCTTTACCGAATCATCGCTACAGTTTATGGACGCATAGGCAGCGATGATGAATAGACATCTATTAGTCCCGCGCGACTTCGAAGCTTTAAACGAGCCAGCCAATCGGACCGCACACATCCGGCTACTGATTGGAATCCAATCAACCAGAGCAGCTTCAGCCCGGGGACAAAGAACAATACCAACACCGGCTTGGCCGGTGCTCGAAGCTTCATCGTCACCGGATAGGCGCAAGGAGAAAATACTGCTTGCCTCCCTGAAGGGGATCGCAGAGTGAGCACAGTGCTCGAGTCTTGCAGGCGAGTCTCTGATACGTAGCAGATATCGATCGAGAGGGTCGCCAATGTCCGGGCAAGTGCTGCCTTTTGACCGATTTGCAGCAGTGTGCGTACATTGAGGCATGCCAATCTGAAGGAAAATCGAGGGCTCCAAATGGAAGCCGATGAACTGGACTGGACCGCTTGGTTGGGCATGGGCTTGTTGACAGGAGAGGAGTGACGCTCCACGTTCACGTGTGAGTTGAAATTAGAAGGTAAATGCCTAGCAAAGCATGTTGGGGGAGGGCCAAGAATCGGGGGTTTGAAAACTGGGGGGACATAAGTGAAGTTGGAATGGGACGGTAAGAGTGAAAATGCGTAAGAGGGGGAACAAGAAGACGGGAAGGCTTGAGCAGTAGCATCCAAACCCCTATCCACCCTGCTCGATGCAGCAGATAGGGCACCGTTGATTATCCTCTGCGGTGGCCAGAGCATCAAGAAATTGTTTGAAGGAAAATTCATAGTATTGCGTGGGCAGGATACTGTCAGGTTGCCCAGGCCTAGACAGGAAAACGATTAGGGTTCTCAACCAAAGCCTTTGGTTCAAAAACCTGACCTCAAGGCAGCGGGTTTAGCGTTGGGCTACAAGGAGTCCATTTTAAGGAATAAGGTGCCACCCTCATTCCAACCCCCAACCTGGAGTACCAGGAGGCAGAGTTTGTATGGCCTCTAACCACTGACCAATCTGGTATGAGTGACTCTGGAGGTGCCAAAGCACCATCCAGTGTAGCTCAATAGATTGCTAAGGCACACAAACCATCGCACCATATTAAGGTCCAGCCTCATTGCGATGGAGTGAGGGTGAGAATATTCCATATGCCAAATGCTAAATC